GCGTATTGTTTATTTTTCGTCCAAAGTCCCCTGGTAGGAGGACAGGGCCGACCTAATCTTAGCAGGCGCCTGTGGTCTAATCTAGACCTGGATGGGGGCGGAGTAGATGGGGTCGGAGGATCGCGCCGCATCGTCGATGCATCGGCGATGCATCGGCGATGCGGCGCGACGCGGAGCCCGATATTCTCCGCGCTGGCGTCGCCGGTGCATCGCTGACGTCGCTAGTGCATCGCCGATGCATCGGCGATGCGGTGCGATTCTCCGACCCCATCTACTCCAGATTTCGTAATAACAGGGAGGGGGTCTGGACCCTCCCAGACGAGAAGTTTTAGACCCCCCCCGTGGGAGAACCCTCCAAAACATCGTCCCCAGACCCCCCCAGGCCCTCCAAGACAGCCTGGAAGAGACCCCCCCCCGAAATGAGGCCCCCTCCCTTTTATTACGAAATCTGGAGTACTCGGACCTCATCCGGGAGGCCTCTATCTAAGAAGCTTCCCCGCCTGCTCAGAGGGCCGCCCTCCTCGAGCGCGCCGCCGATGGTCTTCTCGCTGATTGCGTGTTGGGGCTCTCGATCCTCAAACCTCAGAGCCCTCAGATCCAGTGGGTGCACTCAGGCCTGCGCAGATAGCAGACGGCCTTTCGGGGGGGGAGAGCTGTCACAGTCTTCAGCCGCAACCGCTCCTCGAGGTCACATCATGTCGGCAGCCCCGCACTCTCGCTGGTCAGGGCGCCCGCGGGCCGCCGACCACCATCGGCCACGGCCACAGGCCCGACCAAGGGCGACGGGGAGCCCCCGGCCAGGGCACCCCGAGGTTGCAGAACAAGCGTTCGACATCGCGAAGAGTCCCGACCAGAGCCCTCGACCCCCTTGCTTCTGCACCACTTGTCGAGCCGGATCGATCGATCTGTGAGGGTTTCCCGGGGCTTCCGGAGCCGGGCGAACACGCTCGGTGTGAAACACCAGGACGCCTGGACTTCAGATTTAGGTCGGGCACGTCCCTCGACAGGAGGAACATTCAAGAATAGTAAGAAATAGTCTCGGAACGTTCTTTCGAGTTTTTTTTCCCAACCATCCTGTGGTGTTGGGTCCTCGTTTTGAAGAGACAGCGCCCCGCGTTCACTCCTCCCGCTGCCCCCTCCCTCCTGCCATCATCATCATCATCATCATCATCATCATCATCATCATCATCATCATCATCATCATCATCATCATCATCATCATCATCATCATCATCATCATCATCATCATCATCATCATCATCATCATCATCATCATCACCATCATCATCATCAGCAAAAGCAGCCACTTCGGCACACCCCTCACACGTTTCGTGGCCCCATAGGGAGCTCCACCGAAGGCCCCAGTGGCTGCGCTCCCATGCGCCCACCGCACCCATTTCGGCACACCCCTCACACGTTTCGTGGCCCCATAGGGAGCTCCACCGAAGGCCCCAGTGGCTGCGCTCCCATGCGCCCACCCACCCATTTCGGCACACCCCTCACACGTTTCGTGGCCCCATAGGGAGCTCCAGCGAAGGCCCCAGTGGCTGCGCTCCCATGCGCCCACCGCACAGATTTCGGCACACCCCTCACACGTTTCGTGGCCCCATAGGGAGCTCCACCGAAGGCCCCAGTGGCTGCGCTCCCATGCGCCCACCGCGCCCATTTCGGCACACCCCTCACACGTTTCGTGGCCCCACAGGGAGCTCCAGCGAAGGCCCCAGTGGCTGCGCTCCCATGCGCCCGCCGCACCCATTTCGGCACACCCATCACACGCTTCGTGGTCCCATGGGGAGCTCCAGCGAAGGCCCCTGTGGCTGCGTTCCCATGCGCCCACCGCGCCCATTTCGGCACACCCCTCACACGTTTCGTGGCCCCATAGGGAGCTCCAGCGAAGGCCCCAGTGGCTGCGCTCCCATGCGCCCACCGCGCAGATTTCGGCACACCCCTCACACGATTCGTGGCCCCATGGGGAGCTCCAGCGAAGGCCCCCGTGGCTGCGCTCCCATGCGCCCACCGCACAGATTTCGGCACACCCCTCACACGTTTCGTGGCCCCATATAGGGAGCTCCAGCGAAGGCCCCAGTGGCTGCGCTCCCATGCGCCCACCGCGCCCATTTCTGCACACCCCTCACACGTTTCGTGGCCCCATAGGGAGCTCCACCGAAGGCCCCAGTGGCTGCGCTCCCATGCGCCCACCGCACCCATTTCGGCACACCCATCACACGTTTCGTGGTCCCATGGGGAGCTCCAGCGAAGGCCCCAGTGGCTGCGCTCCCATGCGCCCACCGCACCCATTTCGGCACACCCCTCACACGTTTCGTGGCCCCATAGGGAGCTCCACCGAAGGCCCCACGTGCCCCATAGGGAGCTCCACCGAGGCCCCAGTGCAGGGTCCCGCATGCCTCCCCACACCCATTTCGGCACACACCTCACACGTTTCGTGGCCCCATAGGGAGCTCCACCGAAGGCCCCAGTGCAGGGTTCCGCATGCTCCCCACCACCCATTTCGGCACACCCCTCACACGTTTCGTGGCCCCATAGGGAGCTCCACCGAAGGCCCCAGTGGCAGGGTTCGCATGCCTCCCCCCACCATTTCGGCACACCCCTCACACGTTTCGTGGCCCCATAGGGAGCTCCACCGAAGGCCCCAGTGGCCTGGTTCGTATGCCTCCCCAACACCCATTTCGGCACATCCCTCACACGTTTCGTGGCCCCATGGGGATTTCCATTGAAGGCCCCAGTGACTGGGTTCGCATGCGCCCCCGCACCAATTTCGGCACACCCCTCACACGCTTCGTGGCACCATAGGGAACTCCACCGAAGGCCCCAGTGGCAGGGTCCGCATGCCGCCCCCGCACCAATTCCGGCACACCCCTCACACGGTTCGTGGCCCCACAGGGAGCTCCACCGAAGGCCCCAGTGGCTGCGTCCGCATGCCGCCCCCGCACCAATTTCGGTGCACCCCTCACACGTTTCGTTGCCCCATAAGGAGCTCCACCGACGGCCCCAGTGGCAACGTTCGCATGCCGCCCCCCCACCCATTTCGGCACACCCTTCACACGTTTCGTGGCCCCATAGGGAGATCCACCGAAGACGGTACTCACACCAGCATTACTCACAACTGCATATGGTTGGGTCCTTCGCCAGGCTAATTGTTTTTTGTTTTGTACTTTTGGGTTTTTTGGGATACCTTTTTTTTTCTCCAAACTCTCCTGTGGTGTTGGGCCCTCGTTTTGAAGAGACAGCGCCCCGCGTTCACTCCTCCCGCTGCCCCCTCCCTCCTGCCATCAGCATCATCATCATCATCATCATCGTCATCACCATCATCATCATCATCAGCATCATCATCATCATCACCATCATGACGATCATAGGGAGCTCCAGCGAAGGCCCCAGTGGCTGCGCTCCCATGCGCCCGCCGCACAGATTTCGGCACACCCCTCACACGTTTCGTGGCCCCATAGGGAACTCCACCGAAGGCCCCAGTGGCTGCGCTCCCATGCGCCCACCGCACCCATTTCGGCACACCCCTCACACGCTTCGTGGCCCCATAGGGAGCTCCAGCGAAGGCCCCAGTGGCTGCGCTCCCATGCGCCCACCGCACCCATTTCGGCACACCCCTCACACGTTTCGTGGCCCCATAGGGAGCTCCAGCGAAGGCCCCAGTGGCTGCGCTCCCATGCGCCCACCGCACCCATTTCGGCACACCCCTCACACGTTTCGTGGCCCCATAGGGAGCTCCAGCGAAGGCCCCAGTGGCTGCGCTCCCATGCGCCCACCGCACCCATTTCGGCACACCCCTCACACGTTTCGTGGCCCCATAGGGAGCTCCAGCGAAGGCCCCAGTGGCTGCGCTCCCATGCGCCCACCGCACCCATTTCGGCACACCCCTCACACGTTTCGTGGTCCCATGGGGAGCTCCAGCGAAGGCCCCAGTGGCTGCGCTCCCATGCGCCCACCGCACCCATTTCGGCACACCCCTCACACGTTTCGTGGCCCCATAGGGAGCTCCAGCGAAGGCCCCAGTGGCTGCGCTCCCATGCGCCCAATTTCGGCACACCCCTCACACGTTTCGTGGCCCCATAGGGAGCTCCAGCGAAGGCCCCAGTGGCTGCGCTCCCATGCGCCCGCCGCCCATTTCGGCACACCCCTCACACGTTTCGTGGCCCCATAGGGAGCTCCAGCGAAGGCCCCAGTGGCTGCGTTCCCATGCGCCCACCGCACCCATTTCGGCACACCCTTCATACGTTTCGTGGCCCCATATGGAGCTCCAGCGAAGGCCCCAGTGGCTGCGCTCCCATGCGCCCGCCGCACCCATTTTTGCACACCCCTCACACGTTTCGTGGCCCCATGGGGAGCTCCAGCGAAGGCCCCAGCGGTTGCGTTCCCATGCGCCCACCGCACCCATGTCGGCACACCCATCACACGCTTCGTGGTCCCATGGGGAGCTCCAGCGAAGGCCCCACTGGCTGCGCTCCCATGCGCCCGCCGCACCCATTTCGGCACACTCCTCACACGCTTCGTGGCCCCATAGGGAGCTCCAGCGAAGGCCCCAGTGGCTGCGCTCCCATGCGCCCGCCGCACCCATTTCGGCACACCCCTCATACGGTTCGTGGCCCCATAGGGAGCGCCATCGAAGAAGATACTCACAATTGCGGTACTCGCAACTGCATCTGGTTGGGTCCTTCGCCAGGATAATTTTCTCGTCCAAAATCCGCCAGTAGGGGGACATGCCCGACCTAACCTCAGGTTTCCCCTTTCAGGCAGTGGCGAGGCGTCCTGGCTGGTCCATAGGCCCATCAAATAATGTCCTCATAACCTTTTGCGGCCTGCAAGCAATGTTTTTAGAGCAGCTCTGGCTGAGACCGTCCTGGCTTAACACGGCGGGCTTCCGTTCCAGGAGCACCGTCTTCGCTCTTGGAACATCTTTGGGCTCCAAGGGCATGCCGTGCTCCTGGGGCTGCCGGGACGGTCGGTCCCATGCTCAACTCTTCCAGGACTGCGTCACGTGGTCCGAGGGCCCCTACGGCGAGGCGGACTGGCTGGAGCCCCCCGGCCGCGCCCGGGCCGCGGCGGCCGCCGCAGGCGGCAACCCCGCGGGGAGCCGGGCGCCGTCCGGCGGCTCCTCCGAGGGCTTCCAGGACGCCGCGCGCCTTCTGCGGGGGCGTCGTCAGAGCCCCGAATCATCAGGGGTAACTCGGGTCAGGGATAACTCGGGTTCGTTTTTCGGGAATCCAAACCCGACTTACCCCGGACCCGAGTTACCCCGGATAATTCGGGCGCCCAGAGCCCAAAAATCATCAGGGGTATCTCGGGTCAGGGATAACTCGGGTTCCTTTTTCGGGAATCCAAACCCGACTTACCCCGGACCCGAGTTACCCCGGATAACTCGGGCGCCCAACGTAGCGTGCGGGCTCGATGTCCAGCAGGCGGCGAGGCACCCCAGCTTGGGGACGATCTTTGACTGTTGTTAGCTATAATATTGGATTATTTCGGGGGTATGTCTTTATTGTTCGTCCAGAAGCCTCCCGGTGGGAGGACATGGCCGACCTGATCTCAGAAGGCGCCTGTGGTCTACTCTAGACCTGCAGTGCCGTTTCTCATACACGCCCTGCGTGCGGATCATGTATGAAACATGCCAGGGATTTAGTGTTCAAAACAAAGATGAGTTCAGGCATGCATTTATTCATATGTTAACCATGTATTACAAGGCATCACTTTTAACTCTTATGTATCAAAGACTGCCCTGTAGGTGGGGAAGGAGCAGATGGGGGTCGGATGGGGCGCGCCGCCTGGCCGGCGCCTCGCCGACTTCCGCTCGATGCGGAGGCCGGGCTTCTACACGCCGATGTCGGGGGTGGACAGGCCTCCTGCCGGACGGCGTTGGGCCCCAGGACGGCGCCAGAGGCGCCGCCAGGGAAGGGACCCAGCGCCGATCCAGGCGAGCCGCGCGGAGCTCTGAGCGCTTTTATGCACGCCGTGTTTTCGGCCTTTGGCATCGGGTCCGGCTGCTTCAGCGTCGGGGCGGTGCTCTTCTCTGAGGGGGGCCAGTTCTACCTCGGGGGTGGACAGACCTCCCACCCTGACACGTCGATTAACGAATTGGCCGTTTTCGGTTCGCGAGAGGGCGTCGCGGCCTTCATTTTTGCGGGTCCAGGTCCGTCGGTTTCGGTCCCAGGCCGTTTTCACTAAAGGGAGGTTTACTAGAGGGAGGTTTGTCCACCGCCGACGATGGCGCCGATGCATCGCCGACGTCGCCGACGCGTCGCTGGTGCAACGTGGACGTATCGACGATGCGGCGCGACCCCCCGACCCCATCTACTCTCGGGCCGGGCGAAAGGGGAGGATTGGGAAAGGGGGGGTTGCGAAATTTGCTGCACGCAGCTGGTTCCGGCCTCACCAAGGGGCCCATTCCTCGATACATCGCCGCTTCCGGCGCCGGGAGGCGCCGGGAAAATCAGCTACGTGAGCTGATTCTCAACCCCCCCCTTTGCTATCCCCCCCTTTCGCCTGACCCCATCTACTCGGACCCCTGGGAGGCCCCGAAGCAGTACCTGTTCATATGGAAGATGCTCGGTGTCTGTCGGAACCCATCGAGCAACGATATTTCCCATTCTGGCAGCAGTCTTCGTCCATTTGGCAGCCCCTGTTGTCCAAATAGAAGGATTGCGGTCGAAACTACAAGAAACAGTTGTTGTCAGAAGCGGGTTCGGAGGGACAGGAGTTCTTATTTCACATGAGCAAGACAATTCTGTTGGGCTCACTACCTACCCCGCTGTTGCTTCCAGGCAAAACTAAATCATGGCACGCGCATCCTCGTCAAGCAGCCTGCCCGTTGCGGTCCCCCCCTCACGGGGTATTTTGGTTTTGTTTGGCTGCCATTTGGAAGCGAGGGTGGTCAAAAGCGAGGCAGGTTCGTTTGCCTTGTAGGAGCATCGTTAGGGAAACGAATAATGATTATTTCATAAACATACGTATCCTGGCGAAGGACCCAATCATATGCAGCTGTGAGTACCGCGTTGTGGCTAATTGCTGCTCTTGGTGAAACCCCTTACGGGGCCACGATCCTCGTGATGGGTGTGCCAACATGGGCGGGGGGACGCATGCAAACCCTGCCGCTGGGAACTTCGGTGGAGCTCACCACGGAGCCGCGGTCCTCGTGATGGGTGTGCAGAAATCAGCCGGGGGGCGCATGCAAACCATGCCGCTGGGGCCTTCGGTGGAGCTCCCTGTGGGGTCATGATCCTCGTGAGGGGTGTGCCGACATGGGCGGGGGGACGCATGCAAACCCTGCCGCTGGGAACTTCGCTGGAGCTCCCTATGGGGCCACGATCCTCGGGAAGGGTGTGCCGACATGGGCGGGGGGACGCATGCAAACCCTGCCGCTGGGAACTCCGGTGGAGCTCACCATGGAGCCGCGATCCTCGTGATGGGTGTGCCAAAATGGGAGGGGGGACGCACGCAAACCCTGCCGCTGGGCCTTCTGTGGAGCTCCCTATGGGGTTATGATCCTCGTGCGTGAGGGGTGTGCCGAAATGGAGGGGGGAAGCTGCGAACCGTGTGAGGGTGTGTCGAAATGTGGCGGCGCCGCCATGTGGCAGGGTCCACTGGGGCCTTCGGTGGAGCTCTGTATGGGACTACGAGCCGTGTGAGGGGTGCGCCAAAATGAGGCGGCGCCGCCATGCGGACCCTGCCACTGGGGCCGCCGGTGGAGCTCCCTACAGGGCCACGAACCGTGTGAGGGGTGCGCCAAAATGGGGCGGCGCCGCGCCATGCGGACCCTGCCACTGGGGCCGCCGGTGGAGCTCCCTACAGGGCCACGAACCGTGTGAGCGGTGCGCCAAAATGGGGCGGCGCCGCGCCATGCGGATCCTGCCACTGGGGCCTTCGGTGGAGCTCCCACTGGGACTACGAACCGTGTGAGGGGTGCGGCAAAATGGGGCTTCGCCGCCATGTGGACCCTGCCACTGGGGCCGTCGGTGGAGCTCCATATGGGGCCGCGAACCGTGTGAGGGGTGTGCCGAAATGTGGCGGCGCCGCCATGTGGACCCTACCACTGGGGCCTTCGGTGGAGCTCTGTATGGGACTACGAACCGTGTGAGCGGTGCGCCAAAATGGGGCGGCGCCGCCATACGGACCCTGCCACTGGGGCCGTCGGTGGAGCTCCCTATGGGGCCACGAACCGTGTGATGGTTGTGCTGAAATGGGGCGTCGCAGCCATGTGGACCCTGCCACTGGTGCCTTCGGTGGAGCTCTCTTTGGGGCCACGAACCGTGTGAGGGGTGCGCCAAAATCTGGCGGCGCGGCCATGTGGACCCTGCCACTGGGGCCTTCGGTGGAGCCCCCTATGGGGCCACAAACCGCGCGAGGGGCGGCACCGCCTTGTGGACCTTGCCACTGGGGCCTTCGGTGGAGCTCCCTATGGGGCCACGAACCGTGTGAGGGGTGCGGCAAAATGGGGCGGCGCCGCCTCGTGGACCCTGCCATTCGGGCCTTCGGTGGAGCTCCCTACAGGGCCACGAACCGTGTGAGGGGTGTGCCAAAACGGGTGGCGGTTCCCGCATGCGGACCCTGCCACTGGGGCCTTCGGTGGAGCTCCCTATGGGGCCACGAACCGTGTGAGGGGCGCGGCGCTGACGATGGCGATGGCGATGCTCATGATGATGTGGGTCATGACGATGGCGATGATGATGACGATGATGACGCTGACGATGACTATGACGAGGCGGATGGGAAGAGGGAGGAGGGGGAGGAGGGGAAGGAAGAGGAGTGGGAACGCGGGGCGCTGTCTCTTCGAAACGAGGACCCAACACCACAGGATGGTTTGGAAAAACTCTGAGGTCCGCGCGGATTGCTCGGATCCGCGCTGGACCCCCTTCCCTGGCGCGCGGAGCGCGCCAGAGGTGGCGCCGGAGGCGCCGCCAGGGGGCCCCAGCGCCGATCCGAGAAATCCGCGCGGACCTCCGAGTTCTGATGCTTACGTCATTGTTCGTTCCCCTAGTTTGCCTCGTATGGCGAACGAACCACACACACACCCATACCCAAAGGGGCGGTCGTTGGGAGGAGGGCTCGCTATGGGTATGGGTGCGGGTTGTCGGACCCTGGGGAACGCTCCCGTTCGAGCGGGGACCCCCATCCGACAACACGGACCCATGGCCCTCTCCGACCCCCCTATGGGTATGGGTGCGTGTTATTGGCCCGTCCTCGTAGGAGCATCGTGCCCCCGCGTGCCCCCCGCGGGCGTTCTCAGACAGGACGCCCGCAGCGAGCTGACGGAGCGGACGCCGCGGGCGCGGCCGCCCTCGGGCTGGGCGCGCGGCGGGCGGCGGCCCGCCGAGGCGGCGGCGGAGCTCCAGGCGCCCACAGCGGAGCGACGGAAGAGCACGGGGGTCACACGCGAACCCCGCCCCTCCCCCTCAGAACTCGTGGGGGGCAGGGGTAGGGTTCGCGTCAAGCTGGCCAGCTCGAGCGAGTCAAGCATGGCATGCCCATTCCCACCCGCCCTCCCACAACATAAGAATCAGTGATGGCACAACTGGGGGCTGCGCGGGCATTTAAGGGTTCGCGTGTGGCCCCCTAGGAAGAGCACGGGGGTCGTCTTTTTGCCCGCAATGGCGCGCACGTGCGGAGGGCTCCTGCGGCCTTGGCGCGCCGGCGACCCCGGCGAAAAGGCGGTTCGGAGGCCGAGTGCTGCGGCGTGGGAGCGCCGATGGGGCACGGCAGCGCCACTGGACGTGGCCGAATTCGGCCTCGAACGAGCGGGGCCGCGAGGCATTCGGGGCTGAACGATCGACGCGGTGCCGAAAACCGTGGCGCGCGCCGACGCCGCACGAACCTGCCGCAAGGTGCCCGCGCAGGGGCGCGCGTGAGCGCCTTCGTTACCAGTGTAGCGTGCCGTGTTGGCGGCCCGCGTGAGCCACCGCGTCGGGTCGCTACGCAACCTCGCTCAAGACCCCCTGTCGTTTCGTCGCTCAAATGTTGTTGGAGTAGACTGGGTCGGAAGATCGCGCCGTACCATCGCCGACCGGCGAGGCGGCTCGATGTGAAACCCGGATTTCTCCACGCCGACGTTCCCGATGTATCGCCGTCGTCGCGGATGTGTCGCGGATGCATCGCCGATGCATCACCGATGCCGCGGCGATGCGGCGCGAGCCTCTGGCCCCATCTGTGCGGGCCCCGTTTGGGCGGCCTCCAGGAGCTGCGGCCGCCAGACGGGCTGGAGGGCGCGCTGCTCCGCTGGTGGGAGGTCGCGCGGGAAGGGGAGGCAAAGGATGGCGGGAGGAGGAGGAGGAGGAGGACCAATGGACGGACCAGTGGGCCAAGGAACACCCCGACAAGAACTGGAGCCGCAGCCACAGCGGCAAGGGCAACAAATACAGCGGTGAAGGACTTACCGCAAAAGCCGACACCGAGCATGACAAGTGAACCCCGAAATGCAAGGAACAACTCAACAAGGGCAAAGGCAAGACAAAGCATCAACCTGATGGTGAAAAGCAGAACAAAAAAACGGAGGCGACCCAGAACTACAACGACCACATCGCCAACACCATCAGCAACGTCATGCCCTTGAGGCGGATCCGCGCTACCAAAAAGCACGACCAGAAGCTACCACCCAACGACCCCACGCTGAGGGACGACCGGAAAAAGATCAACACATCGAGATGAGGCGGTCCGCAACGGCAATTGCCCAAAATAGTACAGCAGGAAGCAGGACTACTTACAACAGACGCCGAGGTACATATCGATACCATCAAGGCCATGATGGTCCTCAGCAACACGTCGCTGGTTCAACAGAACAGGGAGATCGAGACAACGACGCAGACCATGGAGGGTGACTACGAGCATACCAGGGCCCACTTACAACATACAGGTTGAACTGAACAAGCTAGAGAACAATAACGATGAGCTTCTCCAGTGGGACATCAGCAACGCCAAGGACGACCGGTACAGCGACGACGAGGCTGCCGACGACGAGGTCGACAAACCACAGCGCGATGTACCACAGAAAAAAGATCCTTATCCCGGCGCCAAGCAGAAACATAATGGCAATGGATATTACAGAAAGTCACGACGTCGGCACCTTGTTCAGGGACCTCAGCGAGGACAGCCGGCGCATGAGCCAACGACGAGATCCAGGACCTCGAAAACCACCTCCGAAAGGCAGGAGAAGATGTTCAATACATCACGTGGACGCGACCGCCATGTCGAAGCAACCAGGGCACAGGGAAGTGCACCAGGCGGCCCCGTGCATTCGTGCTGGGATCCCTACGCCTGATCGCACGCGGGGGATCCCGCCGTTTGCCTCCGGGGGCGCCTGCGGGGGCTACCCGTGAGCAGATGGAGAGGCCCTTGCGCCTTCCCCCCTGGCCGCGCGTGGGCGAGGCCGCCACCGTCCACCGTCGGCGGCACTTGCCCTCTGCACCTCCACCTCTGCTGCTTCCACCCTGACGCTGACGGCGCCAGCTGCGCTGGCGCTGCTTGGCTTGCCGCCGCCCGGGCAGCGGTGCACTGGAGGAGCGCAGACAAGGCTCCCTCTGGCGCGTCACTGTCCAGCAAACCCGCACTCTGCGTCGGCGTGCTGCCGCACGGGCAGTGGCACCAGCTCCTTCTTCACTTTCCGCCTCCCCCGCCAAGAGGGGCACCGTAGACGAGGGGGGCCCAGGGCGCTCTCCGGGACGTTGGCCTGAGGTGGCCAGTTCATGCGAAGGAGAGAGGGCCCAGCACAGCCGCAGAACACCTGGCCCCGAGGGGCTCTGCCCATTCTTTTTGCGCCACACCCGCCGCGATCACAGCTGCCGCCGCAGCAAGCCCACTCCATCTCTTTGTGTGGTCATGATTGATGGATGTTTCCGCTTTTCGTTCCTTCTCCTCCTCCTCCTCCTCCTGACTGTTTACTTTTGCCCTTGAACTTCTGCCACGCGTTAGCGCGCGTGCCACGAATCAAATTGACTGATGCGTCTTAGCGATCCTGAATCGTGGCAGAACGCCATCCCTGGGACTTCAACGCCTCGAATCCATGCAACTGTTGCGCCCTGACAGTGCTGAATCGCGCCCAAACGCTAGTGCTTGCACGTTGACCATGGGAGACCGTGACATTCTTTCAAATGTTTAAGATGAGTGTGCGCGGCGCTAAGGCGGTAGCCACATATCAACAAGGAGCCACCCTCTATGAATGAAGCGATTGCAATTATTATTCAAGTCGAGTGTATGCGGCGCTGAGGCGATCATTTTGATTTGGAAACTGCTCGCCGTCAATTCGTTTGTTGGTTTTGTACATTGCAGAATTTAGAATGGATGTGCGCGGCGCTAATGCGAAAGTCACTTTTTGAAAACCGCACGCCCTCGATCTGTTAAGCTGCTTTCGCTCTCCAAGCTTCGGGATCACGAGTGGTAAAGAAGTGTCAGGCGAAACGCCCGGCCCGCCCTTCCGACTGGCCTCGGGGTGCGACACGGAGGAGTTAGCTATAAGGAAATGGAATAGAGGAGGAGGAGGAGGCGGAGGAGGCGGAGGAGGAGGAGGAGGCGGAGGCGGATGCAGAGGAGCAGGCAGAGAAGGAGGAGGCGGAGGAGGAGAAGGAGCAGGATGATGTCGATGAGAACAAGGATGACTTCGATGGGGATGATGATCATGATCATGGTCAGTATCCTGATCCTGACGGTGATGCTGACGATGACTATTATAATGTTGCTGCTGTCGCTGCTGATGGTGATGCTACTGCTGAACAGGAAGATGAAGATGCTGCTGATGATGATGCTGATGCTGATGCTGATGATGATGCTAGTGATAATGATAATGATGATGCTGATTATGATGCAGATGCTGACGACGATGGAAGCTGATCTATAAGATGATGACGATGATAATGCTGATGTGGATGGCGATGCCGATGCCGATACTGATGCCTCTGATACTTTTTCTGCCGCTGCTGCTTCTGATGATGATGATGATGATGATGATGATGTTGATGATGATGATGATGATGATGATTAGTAACATGATGATGCTGGTGCTGCTGATGATGATGCAACTGATGACGCAGATGATGGTGATGATGATGACGATGATGATACTGATGATGCTGCTGTTGATGATGATGATGATGATGCTGATGATGCCGATTTTGATGATGATGCTGATGGTGATGAAGGTGATGATGATGATGATGATGTACTTGATACTGATGATGACGATCATGATGATGCTGATGATGCTGATGATGATTCTGATGATGCAGATGATGGTGATGATGGTGATGATGCTGCTGCTGATCATGATGACGATGATGCTGTTGAAGATGATGATGATGATGATGATGATGATGCTGATGGCGATTATAATTATGCTGATGCTGCTGCAGATGATGATGCTGATGATGCTGATGCTACTGATGTTAATGATGCTGATGCTGGTGATGGTGATTGTGATGCTGATGATGCTGATGATGATGCTGATGACGATGATGATGGTGCTGATGATGATGGTGGGGATGGTGATGATGATGCTGATGATGATGACGATGATGCTGATGATGATGATGATGATGCTGATGCTGATGCTGATGATGATATATACTGATGCTGATGTTGATGTTGATTGTGATGATGCTGCTGATGATGCTGCTGCTGATGACGATGATGATGTTGATTATGCTGCTGCTGCTGCTGCTGATGATGATGATGATGATGATGATGATGCTGATGGATGTTGATGCTGGTGTTGATGTTGATTTTGATGGTGATGATGATGCTGCTGCTGCTTATGATGTAGATGCTCATGCTGATGCTGATGCTGATGATGTTGATGATGATGATGATGATGATGATGATGATGATGATGATGATGATGATGATGGTGGTGGTGGTGGTGGTGGTGGTGGTGGTTGTGGTGATGATTTGGAGGAGGAGGACGAGGAGGGGGAGGAGGAGGACGAGCAGGAGGAGGAGGAGGAGGAGGAGGAGGAGGAGGAGGACCAGTAGGAGGAGGATGGAACCTCCGGCTGCCCCACACCCCTCCCGACGCCAGCGCCTCTTTGGCCCTCGCCGCCGAGGTCAGCCCCGCCGTCGCCTCCGGAGCGGCCGCGTCCAGGCGGAGAGCCGACCGGGCGCTCTCCTGCGCTGCCTTGGCGGTGCTTGGCGCGCGGCACGCGTGCCTGGCCTCGTCAACGCTCGGTGCGTGGAGGCGCATGGCGGTGGCGAGCAGGGCGACTCGGAGCGCACAGAGGCGGGCGCTCGCCATGGTGTCCCGCGCTGCCGTGGCGGTGCTCGGCGCGCGGCACGCGTGCCTGGCCGCGTCCACGCTCGGCGCCTGGAGGCGCCTGACGGCCGCGAGGAGCGCGTCCCGGAGGGCACAGAGGAGCGCGCTCGCCATGGTGTCTCGGCGGCACCAGGACGGCGACCGGGCGGCCCTGCGAGCGGCGTGCGCCGCGTGGCGCCGCTGGGCCAGGACTGAGCGCTCCGCGGCGAGAGGCCGCGGCGAGGCAAGGAGACTAGTGGACGGCCAGCCGCCGATGGGCGGGCCGCCGTGGTCCGCCCGCTCACGGCCTGGCCTGCAGGCGGACGCGGGCGGCGCCTCCTTCGCCGCCGCAGCGGGCCTCCGAGGCGCTGCCCTCTCGTCGCTGGCCGGCTCGGCCCTGCCCGTGCCGGCCGGGCCCTCGTCGCGGGGCAGCTCGCCCCCGCGGGGGGCCCGCTCGCTGGAGGCGGGCGGCCGCGGCGGAGGAGGCTGCCCCTCCGAGCGGCGCCTCGGCAGCTCCGGCAGCTCCGCCTTCCACTCCTGCGCCGGGGACAGTTCGGCGACGCCGCGCAGCCCCGCCGGCGCGCCGGCCCGCCGCGTCGAGGCCGCGGCCGACGAGGCGGCCTGGGTGTGCGCGGCCGCCCTCGTCGAGGAGGCCGACGCAGCCGAGCCCAGCGGCCGCAGTGGGGCTGCGGCGTCCGCCGAGCCCCGCGCCGGCAGGGCCCGCGGCGTGCCCACCGCGGGCCCCAGCGGAGGGGCGCCCGCCGCAGAAGCCGTGCCCCCCTTGGTGGGGCAGGCCCCCGCCGCGGCGGGGCGCGCGGGCGGGGTGCCCCGCGAGGGGCTCGGCGCTCCCACCGTCGGGGCTCCCGTGCTGGACGAGCCCACCGAGGGGCCGGCTGGGGCAGTACCGCCCGCGGCGGCGGACCTGCTGAGCAGGGCCGCCCGCCGCATCGCGGGGCTGCGCCAGGAGCTGCGCGCCAGGGACCGCGCGGAAGCGCTGGGCGGTGCGCGGCCCGAGGCGCAGCGCTGCAGGCCCGGGCGCGCGTCGGCGTTCGTGGACGAGGTCGGCCCGAGGCAGCTGCGGGCCACGGCGGCGGTCATCCTGGAGGCCAGCCGCCGCATCGACGAGATGCAGATCGAGCTGGACAGCCTCAGAGCGGCCAGCGCCTGCGAGGAGGGCCGCGGCGCCGCTGACGTTGCGGGGCCCGCCGGTGCGCCAGAGGTCCACGCAGTGCCCCCGACTCCTCTGGCGTGGGCGCGCGTCGACGACGGTCGCACCGCCGCGCGGCCGGTCACCGAGATCGCGGCTGCAGCGTCGCTGGCGCTCGGCGATCAGGATCCCTGTGGCGGCCGCGAGTAGGCCCAGAGTCCAGAGTAGTACTGTGAGGGTATACAGTCAACCCGCATAATCAGTAAGGATGCGCACTTTTCCCACGGTTGCCCTTGCATCCTTGCCCCTTCGGCCCATCCTCGGCCACTTCCGTTGGCAGCGCCCCGCTCGAAAAGCTTCGATATGGGTGTGCCGGGCCCTTCCATCCTTATCGCGTATCCTTGCTATACGGGTTGACTGTCCAGTACGAGCGCTGGAGTAAGGACCACGCTGGGCGAAGGAGGGGCTCTTGTGCTCGGGCCGCTTTCCGAGGTCCAGGTCGGGGAGCCTTTTTTTGTGGCCGAGGATCTCCGTGGCCAGGAAGCTTCCCTCGTTGCTCCTCGTGAAGGCCTCACGGCCAGTGCCGCGGACCCTGAAGTCATCCAGAGACGCTGGCATTGTTCTTGCAATGCGCCTGAACGACGCCCGCGCTTCGAGTGCTCCGCCATGCTGCGGCGCGCCACGAGGGCGCAGTGCCTGGGCCGCGACTGAGGCACGCTTTGAGTACACCGGCATTTCGCATGCACTATACTTGGCCTGCACTTGACACGCACTACGGTAGGTTTGCGTTGTGTCGACCAGCGGCGACCCCAGCGTGGGCGTTCAAGGTTGAACGCCGCCGGCGACCCAGAATCGATCGATATTGAACGATCGGACGTTGCGGCAGCGGCCGATCGTTCAAGGTTGAACGATCCCTGCGGTATCAAAAACCAACGCTGGGGTCGGCACGACACGAACTTGCCGTAGCGCCATTCCAGGAACACGCTTAAGCTGCGCCTGGACTAATTACGCATGAGCCGCGCCAGAACTACACTTGAACCACACCTGAGCCACAACTGACCTTCGCCTGCACTACACCCGAACTACACGGCACCTTCACTCGAATTGTTCTTATCAACGTTGGAACTACACTTGCACTACACTGGAACTGCACGTGAACTGTATTTGGACTAGACTTGAAGTACACTTGAACTAGAAGTATTACGCTAGAAGCCCACCTGAACTAGACCTGAACTGCCTTTGGACCACTCTTGAAGTACACGTGAACTACACCGCAGGGTCAATTTTCACCACACTTGAGCTACACCTCAACTGCACTTGAGCTACAATGCCCACGCATGAGCCACAGTTGAACTACACCTGATGTACACTTGAACCACACTTGAAATACACTTGATCCACACGTGAACTGCGCTGTGACATCACCTAAGCTATACGTGAGCTACACTCGAACTACAATGGCTACACCTGAACCAATCTTGCACTACACCTGAACTACACTTGAGCCAGCCTGGAACTACACGTGAACAATACTAGATTTGAGTTACAATTGAAGTGGATTTGATCAACACTTGAACTGCCAAAGCTGCACTTGCACCACGCTTGAACTACTCCTGAACATCGTTTGACACACATATATATATTTATATATATGTGCATATATATTTATATATATTGGAACTATACTTCAGCTACACGTGAACTAACTTGAACTGGACTATACTTGACTCGCATTTGATTTGCAAAGACTACACTGGGAGCGCACTTGAGCTATACCTGAACTACAACTGGGCCACACTTGGGCCACTCTTGAATCACATTTGAACCACAATGAAACAGCATTACCCTACACGGATTGCACGTAACCACTTTTGGGTTAATGTTGAACCACAGTTGAATGGCATTGGAGCTACACGTGAGCTACACTTGAACTAACTTTGAAATTCACTTCACGACATGTACACTACATTTTGACTACAAGGGCTGCGCCTGAACCTCACTCGCACTACACTTGAACTACATTCGGTTTTCATTTGAACTGCGCTTGGGCTTCACTTGAACCACGTTCGAACTACACATGAACAACACATTAACGACGCTTGAACTGCCATGACTACGCCTGATTTCCATTCGAACTACACCTGAACTGCGCTTGAAGCAAACCTTACTTGAACTACGCTTGACTCACACTTGAGCTGCACCCCAACTGCACTTGAACTATACTTGCACTACACATGAGCTGCGCTCGAATTACAATGACTGCACCTGAGCCCCTGAGCCACACTCGAACTACACCAGAAATACACTTGACCCGCACCTGCGCCGCACTTGACCTGCATCACAAACATGTGAGTCACATTTGAACTACTCTTGAGACACAAGGGCCACACCCGAACCGCTTTTGAACCGCACCCGGATTACTTTTGACTCACCTTTGAGCTGCACTTGCATTACACTTGCACCACACTTGAGCTACACTTGGGATTCGCTTGGGCCATTCTTGAAATACACGGATTACGCCTGCACAAAGCTTGACCTACACTTGACAATATTCGAACCTCACTCGAAGTACATTCGAACTATATTTGAACTACTTCAACTGAACCTGCACCAGGCATGACATTTGCATGAACTGAAAGGACTACACCTGGACCGCATGTACTACACCTAAACTACACTTGAATCGCGCTTGCACTTCGCTTGAATTACACTTGAATTACACTCGGACGACATGTGATTTACACTTGGGCTAGACTTGAGTTGCACTTGAAATGGACTACACGTGGACTAAACTTGATTTAAACCGGCGGCGCCTGAAACACATTCGAACCACAGTCGAACCACGCCTGGAGTACATTTGGACTTCTTTTGAACCACACTTGAGCTAAACTTGAATTACACTTGAATTACAAGGGCTGCGCCTGTACCACACTTGAGCCACACCTGATGAGCATGTGCGTTGCTCTTGAACTACTTTTGAACTGCATTTGAACTGGATCCGAACCACGTTTGAATTACATTTGAACTGCAATGGCTACGCCTGAACCGTTCGGACTACGCTCGAACTGCACTCGAACCACACTTGAGCTACAATTGAGCCACACGTGGGGTGCACTTGGGCTACACTTGAACCATACGTGCACTACACTTGAACTACAAGGACTACCCTCCACCACCGTTGAATTAAACCTGCAATGCACGTGAACCCCACTCGAGCTTCCCTTGGACTACCCTTGCTTTACACTTGAATCTACACTTGAACAGACATCGATCTAGACTTGAAAAACACTGCAACTTCAAAGACTACACCTGGTACGCACTTCATCTGCACCTGGACACCATCTGGAACGCACCTGAACTAAACTTGAACTACATTCTGACTACGATTGGACTACACTGAAACTCTACAATGGCTACACCTAATAGCACTTGAGAACTACACCAGGGCTACAGTTGAACCACACTTGCGCGCGCAGTTGAGCTCCTGGTCTGGAGCTGTCCGGGGCGCCTCTTCGGCAGTCTTGGGACCGTCTTGGCCCGTCTTGGTGCCGTCTTGGGGGCCTCTTGGGCCGTCTTGGGGGCCTCTTCGGCCGTCTTGGAGCGTTGGAAGCATGAAATGGTGAGACGGCCAAAAATCTTGAACCAAACAATGAAAATGAACGATTTTAGGCTCTCCGGGCGCTCTCGGGAGGCCTCTCGGAGCTCTCTTGAGGTCTCTTGGAGGCCTCCTGGGAGCCTGAAGAACCGCCCGAAAGATATCCTGGGTTGCTTGGGAGCGTCTTGGGCAATTCTTCTACGTTGTGGGGGCTTCTTGGGGTCGTCTGGGGCTGTCTTTGGGCATTGTGGGGGCTCCCCGGGAGGCCGGGAAGCGCGGTGCCGGGAGCGTGCGCGAGGTGTGAGCGAGGTGGAGGACGCCCCGGGAGGGGGCCCGGCGTATTTGTTCATATTCTATATGCCAGCCGCTGAAAGCACGATGACCGCATGAATCGAGAAACCCAAGGGTTGGCCTCTGATCACCTCGACATGTTCCTCGGAGGCCCCAAGATGGGCGCCACGTCGCCCCCGATGGTCTCAGAACGCGCCCGGATGCCACCCAGAGGGCTCCAAAAGAGAACTCCCGAGACGGTTCTTCGAAGCAAAATGCGTCCCAATTCCGTAGGAAAACGTGAACGTCCGCAGATCCCCGGAAAATCCCACACGCAGGCACCCACTGCACCCCCAAGGTGTCCGCGGTGCGGCGTGGGCACAATCATCATCGCTATGAACTTGCACCGATTCCCTCGCCTCAGCGGCATTCAAACACCGCGGCGGCTTCTGCTCAACATGAGGAGGAACGCAGGTCAATAGAGTCTGCTGCACGGCTCTGCGCTAGAGCCGCGAGATTGCGATCGAGCCCGCGGACGCGGCGACTGCAGCGAGCGCAGTACTGCGACGACAGCGGTGCGCCTCGCCCGCCTCGTTGCAGACAGCAGCTTCCGCCGTCTGCTGCACCGCGGCGGCGCACGATGTTTCCGTCGTAGATGCCCGTCAAGCCGCGCCTGTTTTGATCCCCGTTGCAAAAATCGGAAGGTTTGCTTCGCATGGTCCTGCGTCGAGCGGTTCGTACAACGCCACAGGAGCGGCAATGCACTCAGCCGTAATTTCTACGACGTTGTTGTCGCTGCCTTCCGGCACTCCCCATTCGCATTTAGCGTCTTGTACGCAGTCAGATTCGACGGTGAATGCGAAACGCGTAAGTTGGTTTTCTTCATGACGCAGCCTTCCGGGATGGTGTTCGCCATGTCTTGCATGATATTGGACTCGCACCCGCTGGCGTCAGTATCCCACTCGCACTTCGACACAGCATCGCATGAGAGCTCGCTGGACATGGGACCACAGTTAGAGCTGAGCATGCTTTCAATGACAGCCCCCAGGAGTTCACACCTGTCCTTGACACAATTAGTCACTGACGTCGCACTGTCCGAAGGCCATCCCTCATGTACTGCGTCGGGGGTTGAATGACCGGGGCACATGGCCTAAGTAACAAGTGAGCTGTGGGCAATGCAAGTCGTCTCCTCCACGCACATCCTGCCTTCTGTGACCGATCCGGATGGCACCTCATACGACATGACGATCCTGTACATACTAGTAGACGCACAAGCACCCGTCGTCAAAGAAGAGCACTCTGCCAACGCATCGGTCACGTCTCCATACCAGCCACACGTATCCAACGCGTCCGCAACGATTGTTCCCATCACATGACATGTTGTCTTGCATTTACATGACGAGCCAGGCACCCATTCGCACTGCGCCGACGCCGCGACGCATTCGGCTTCTCCTCCCTTGTCCACGCATGGACTGCAATCGTCCCACAACGTTTTCGCGGTACTTCCAGATGGCGCGCCGGCAAATATGTTGTCCGCCGCAAATAAACATCTCTCACCATCCCCTGAGCGTTGCGATGAAGTGGTGCCTGCCTCTGTGAGGCGACGCGTCCTGTGGAGGCGACGCTGTGCGGTGAATTTCGGACGCGCAGTGAGGGCTTGTTGGACGTATGTAGCAACCTTCCGCTGGAAGTAATGCAGATTGGTTTCCTGGGCTGCGTCGGAGAACTGCGCGCTGTCCTCACACCGCCACGCGGCGCCATCGCAAAAGCCGCTAAGGATTGAGAGTATCTAAACGTATATCAAAACACAACAGACGGTGGGCGACATCATCGCAAAAGGACGGATGCGCAACCCCAATCGCTTGGAGCCACAATTGCTGCAGAAACTGCAGGGCAGTCCGAGCGGCGACAGGACAAGCGAGCGCTCAAAATGCCAAACCAGTTCCAGACATCGCGCGCGCGTGAGCCTGCTGCGGGATCGCGACGCCGGGTGCACGTGGGTTCCGCGCTGCTTTCCCGCCTGGCCCGCCATGGCGGGCGATGGCGAAGCGCGGGGCCTCGCGCGCCATGGCCGCGCGCGGAAGACGTCGCAAGAACTCGCGCGCGCGCGGTGCGCGAGGCACCGCACCGTGCCGCGCGTGGAGCGCCGTCGCGGCGCGGGACGTCCTGGCGCGCAGCCCTGGGATGTGCGCGCCGGGCCGACGGATCTCCCGCCGAGCCGTGCCTTCCAGGAGAAGGCGGAGGAGGAGGCGGAGGAGGAGGAGGAGGAGGAGGAGGAGGAGGAGGAGGAGGGTCCGCCCCAGAGCCAGCGCTGCGGGAGGACGACGAAGGCCGGTCCCGGGGACGATCGGAGGCCGAGCCGAGCCGGGGTTGCTGCTCGTAAGATTTCGATCGAAGAAGAATCTACAGGCCAATGCGGCTGGGGACAGCAGCCCGCCTCGCGGTTCCGGTCAGGCAGCGCGGTCCGGCGGAAAGGGGCGAAGAGGGGCTGCTGGCTCGGCGACGGCGTCGACCTGGCCGCCCCCTCTTCGCCGCCTGGGCGGGCGCCGCCGCGCCCTCGAGCGCGCCTCCTGGGCGCCCGGCCCGCGCTGGCCCCGCCGTCGAGGTCATCCTTCCTGGGCCTCCTACATGGGGACGGAGTAGATGGGGTCGGAGGATCGCGCCGCATCGCCGATGCATCGCCGATGCGGCTCGATGTGGGGCCCGATTTGCTTCGCGCCGACGTCGCCGAGGCGTCGCCGACGTCGGCGATGCATCGCCTGTGCGTCGTGGATGCATCGCCGACGCGTCGCCGATGCGTCGGCGATGCGGCGTGATCTTCCGACCCCATCTACTCGGACCCCATCTAGGAGGCCTCTATCCTCGCAGAAGTGCCCCTTCGGCCTCCCATGCGTCCAAGCAGGGGGCCTTCCGCCGGCTTCCCTTGCCGCGGCGCGCCCGCCTGCTTTCCCCGGCCCGCGGCGTTGCCCTCGCCGCGCTCCCAGGGCTGCGCTCCCAAGCCTGCCTCGCGCGGCTTGTCGCGCGGGCGCCGTCCTTTCGCTCGTCCGAGGCGGCGCCGAGCTCGCCGCGCTCCGCGGCGGCCCCGCGCCTCGCGAGGTTTGCGCCCCTGCGCGGCTGGGCGGCGGCGTGATTCGAGACCGCTCTAAAGCGCCTCGCTCGCGCGCCTGGCTCGCGAGGGCTCGTCGGCCCCCCTCTGCTCCGGTGCGGCAAGAGGCGTTGGTTTGTTGACTGCGCTCAGAAAGCGCCTCGCTGGCTCGCGTCTCCCCGCGCGCGCGGGCCCTCTGGCCAGCCGGCCCCGCCCGGCTCTTCGCGCGGGCGCCGCTTTTCCGCTGTTTCGAGGCGGCGGCGCCGAGCGCGCCCCCCCCCCCCGTGGCGCCTGCGCGTCGCGCAAGGTTTGCGCGCCTGCGCGGCCGGTCGGCGGCGCGAGCTGAGGCTGCTGCAAGGCGCCTCGCCGGCGCGTTGTCTGGCTCGCGGCCGGCCCCCCCATCTTTCGCCGTTGTGCGGCAGAGGGCGCGGGTTGGCTGCGGCCGCTTCAAAGCGCTTCGCTGGCTCGTGTCCTCGCGCTCGCACGGGCCCTTGCCTCCCTCTCGCTGGGGCGCACTGCGAGCGCGCCGCGTTCGCCGCGCTTTCGCGCGGCGCCCGTCGCAGCGAGGCTCGCCTGGCCCTCGGCGCCGCCGGTGCTCCGCCGTTCCTGGCGGCGGTCGTTGTCGTCAGCCTCCGAGCCACTGTCGGCGCTTGCTCGAATTGCGTTTCTTCGCGGCGTCGCCGGCGGCGTGGGTTGAGGCCGCCGCGGCGCGCTTCGCCTCCGCGTCGACCTCCCTCGCGCGAGCATGGGTTTTCGCGCGCAGGGGCGCATCCGCGATGGCGCCGCTGGGCCCCCGCCCCGGTCTGCGCTTTTCGCCGTCTCGCGAGCCTCGGGGCCCGACGTTTCCTAGTCGGCCCCCTTCGTGGCTTGTCTTCGCGGGGCTTTCAACAGAGCTTCGCCAGAGGTCGCTTGGCGCGCCGTCGTCTCCCTGTGAGCACTGCGATGTCCTCTTCCTTTCCCCCGCGAGGAGCAGTCCCGCCGGCCCCCTCCCTTCGGCATGGGCGTTCGCCTCGGCCTTGCCTCGCGTGGCCCCCGACGTGGGCGCGGCCGTCAGACTGCGTCGGCTCTGCGCTTGGCCGTGCAGCGTCGGCGGCCCCCCGCCTCCGCGCCGGGCGCGCCCCGGCCCCGAGGGCAGCTGCTCCGCGCAGCGTGTGCGCGCGCCCTCGGGCCGCGTAGGTTCGGCCGCGGGCCGCGGGCCCCCGCGGCGCGTCGCCGGATCTGGTCAGGCAGTGGTTCTGAAGCGCCCGCGGGCGGAAATCGGGCCGCGCGCGCGTGGCGGGGCGTAATTCGTGGGAGATGCAAAGTCACCCTCCAGCGCGTGCCGCCCTTCAGCTTTTCGTCCGTTTTCCCCCTTCTTTCGTTTCGTTGTCGTTGTCGTTGTCGTTGTCGTTGTCGTTGTCGTTGTCGTTGTCGTTGTTGTCGTTGTTGTTGTTGTTGTTGTTGTTGTTGTTGTTGTTGTTGTTGTTGGTTGCGGTTGTTGTTGTTGTTGTTGTTGTTGTCGTTGTTGTTGTTGTTGTTGTTGTTGTTTTTGCTGTTTTTGTTGTCCTCTCTCTCTCTTTCCCTGCTGGCGGTCGCCTGTCTCCGTGCCGAGTGGGCGCCCGCCCCCGAGGGTCGCTGCTCCGCGCGGCGCGCGCGCGCCTTCGGGCCGCGGCGTCAGCCTCCGCCGCGCGTCGCCGACCTGGTCAGACATTGGCTTTGATGCGCGCCCGCGGGCGCCATGGGATTCCGCGCGCGTGGTGGGGAGTGAGGGGGGTGATTATGGTCAAGATGGTTACAGTGGTGACGGGGAGTGTAATGATAGGGGGCGATGGGAATGGTGATAGGGATGATAATGGGTACGACTATGGCGGGCGCTTGTGCGTGATGGCATTGTCAGCTATACCAGCCGCCCCCCCCACCTGCGTTAGAACCTGAGCGCGCGCGAAACGAGCGCGATGGGTCTAGCGAGTGCATGCATATGTACATGTGTAGGTCCATCCACGTGCACACGCAAATGTGTATATGGATGCATGTACAGGCACATGCATGTGTACACGTACACGTATTTGTATGTGCAACAGTATAGATATATGCATATTGGTATACGTATTTGTGCGCACACATGAATATATATATATGTATATATGCATATATATATGTGTGTGTATGCCCATACATGTATCTATAGTTGTATATGCATATGTTTATGCACACGTATATTCATTAACATGTGAAGGCATACACTTTTTTATACACATGCATAGGCGTATGTATATGGTTACATACATGTATAGGTACATGTGCACTTTATTTATATGGGTATATGTATATGGATATGCTTATGTTCATACATACGTCCATGTACATGTACACACATCTAGCTTCACTTCCGTAGGTAATGAATGTGAATATGTATTGCAACGGCTGTCGTATATATGTATCTGCATACATTTGCGTATATGTATTCGTATATGTATATGTACATGTGAACGTTCAGGCATACGTATATGTATTTGCAGTTTTATATGTATATGGATATGCATGTATGTGTATTGACAGACGTATCCGCATACGTATAGGTGCATGTTCATGCAAGTGTAGATGTATATGTAAAGTTAGGTGTCGACGCACAGGTGCATGTATACGTGTGTGTATATAGGTATGTGTGTATGTATGTATGTATGTATGTTTGTATGTATGTATGTATGTATGTATGTATGTGTGTGTGTGTATGTATGTATGTATGTATGTATGTATGTATGTATGTATTAATGAAGGTATGTATACATATATATGTATGTATATATATATATATACGTATACATATATATATATATATATATATATATGCATATGCATATGCATATCTATACACATGCACACGTGTACGAGCGTACATACGAGCGGCCCCCATGGTCATTTGTGTGGTAAGTGTCTGACCTGGGCGGCGCAGAACACCACGCGAGGACATCCAGCACGCTCGCCACCGGACCAGGACCCCCCCCCTCAAAAGTGCCTCCGCCGACCACCCCAGGACCACCCGAGCTGGCACCGGGAGCGGTGTCGGGGCGACGCGCCCGAGGAAGACGAGGCAGACCGCTGCCGCGGCGTCGTCTGGCACGTGCTCCGCACCGCGGCGGGCGCGCCCTGCCGCAGCGGCTTCTGGGCCGCCCTCGGCGTGTGCCCCCGCCGCCGCCAGCACGGGGCCCACGCCGTGGCGCACGGCGCCGCGGAGGCGCCGGCGGCCGCATTCTCGTCCTCCTCCTCCTCCTCCTCCTCCTCCTCTTCCTCCTCCTCCCCCTTCTCCTCCTCCTCTTCCCCTCCTGCTCCTCCTCCTCCTTCCTCTTCCTCCTGCTCCTGCTCCTCCTGCTCCTCCTCCTCCTCCTCCTCCTCCTCCTCCTCCTCGTCCTCCTCCTCCTCCCCCTCCTCCTCCTCCCCCTCCTTCTCCTCCTCCTCCTCCGCGCTCGCGCCTCCGCAGCTGTCCTGGTTTCCCCGCGTGGGAGCAGCCTGAGTGGACCTCATGTGGGTCCATCGGGCCAGGCTTTGAGGCCTGGCGGTGGCTTACATTGGGTAACCTTCTGGAGCGCCTTGATGCCACCCTCTGTTGGTGGTGCACACTGCTCCCTGAATTTCTTGGCTGCACGGATGGTCCAGGCTCCACATCGGGAGCACCAAAGGACACCATTCAACTTCTTGATGAACGGCCCGTGGGACGGATGAAACCGATTTTGCGGCCCTGGGGGGACGCAGGAGGCCTTGAGCCACCTGGGTGTTCCCTTGATGACACTACCTTGCTTGCCGCAAGCGAGACAAGCAATCTGGAAGAGAGGAGGGACAGGAGCAGCGGAGAGGGAGTGGGGCGTCCTAGACAGCTCGATCTGCAAAGCTGCTACACTGCGCTCCACCTTCACTTTCCTACGGTTCTCCTTGACATCCTCATCCTCCTCGAGGCCCAGTGGGTCTTTGTGACTCCAGTAGTGGGTCTGAACTGCTGCCACTCTGTCCCTGCTGAGATCGGCGTGAATGTCGGTGCCTTGGAGGTGTCGAACGAGGGGCCCTGGGACTTGACGCCACTGTGCTGCTTCCGCAGCAAGAATGTCGGCATGGCCATTGAGGTGTAGGGCCCATGGAGGCTCTCGAGCGGCTTCTTCCTCCGTGGGGTGGCTTTGTACTTTGTAGAAGATCGTGTTGTCCCGTCGGTTTTTGGCCTGGGTCCAGAACTTCTGCCACGTGTACTGGTTCTTGGGGTGCCGAAAGCGGGGGCCTCTGTTGAAGCCCTTGATCACATAGGCACAGTCAATCACGATAGTGAGGCGGCCGCGGGTGGACTCCAGCAGCGCAATGACTGCCTCGAGCTCCGCCAGCGGTACCGTCTGCGGGCCGATGATGCCTCCCTGGATGGTTCCTTTCCAGGTGAGGTCGTGTGCCCACAGGGATACGCTCCAGCCACAGACTCTGATGCGCGGGTCCTGCGTATGAGGCCCTCCACTGCCGTCTGTGGCTGCCACTTGCCAGCTATCGAACTGATAAACTGCATGCTGTTCAAATACTCCTTTTCGGACTGTGTCCTGATCTAGCCCCAGAATGTGTCCATGGACTTGGCGAATGATCGTGGCGGGGATGATTCCTCGGAGCCAGAGACTGGGTTCCGTTGGGGACTCTGCCACTGCCCGGTCTATGGAGCCGTGGGTCCGATTGATGGCGGGGATGTTGAGACTTCCCAATTCAGGACACGTCCAGCATTTGTGTAAATCATCTCCGTGTTCTTGCCCACAGAGAGGACAGTCTGCGTCATCCTGCTGGCCGCTCTCAAACCTGCGATGGGCGCTCCAGCACCTCGAGCAGGAAACGGCCTCTAAAGCTGCTGGGAAAGTTGCTTCTCGCTGGAGTTCCTCCTGGGCCTGGACTTGTTGGGCTCGGGGGAGGGGGTGCTCGGCTAGCTGCTTCTCCCGCTTCTTGATGGCGGCCCGCTTTCTGGCAGGGTAGAGCCGCAGGGAGTACACGTCCCCCCCCCTCCTGGAGGCCTCCAGAGTTATGACTAAGAGGGTAGGTCGCTTTCCACGCATGCATGTTCAAGAGGAGCTCCAAGTGAAACATGAAAACCTTCTGGCGGTCCCAGCTCAGCGGCTTGACGGGGAAATCGAGGCCCTCGGGGCCCCTCCAGAGCCATGCCGAGGTAGGGGTCCAGCCTAGGTCGTACAGGGTGGCAATGATCGCGGACATGTGGGACCTGACCATGGGCCACCTTGATGGTCTCTTGAGCTTCTCCCTCAGAGTCCCCCAAGCCTTCTGGATGCCTCCGAGGATGCTGAGTTCGGCATTGATAACCCGAAACCGCATCGTGAACAGCTGGACCCGAAGATAGATCCCTGGATCCATGTTGGATGGGTGTCCTGGACGGGTATGGAGGCCAGTGGTAAGGCAGGCCCCTGCTTTGGAAACTCCATGTGCCGCTCCCGCCAATCGGCGGAAATACTGGACTTCAGTCGGTGCTGATCCGTGTCCCTCCATGCCCCACTTCAGCTGCGGTAGAGCGCCTGTGCGGAAACGTGATCGCGCCTTGATTGTAGTCTTGGCCAGCTTCTTGATGTTCTTGTGTCTCTGCACTCCGAGACGACGACGGGTTCGGCGGACTCCCAGGACCCTTTTCTTCCCGATCGTAGTGTCGACCCCCAGGTCCCGAGCGTGCTGGGCGGGTCTGATCTGGACCCCTGCCTGGTTGAGTTTGTCGACGACCGCGGTGCGGATGTCGTTGGAGCTGGCCAGGACCACAGGCTTACCAGAGAGACGGCATCCTAGGTCAGCGAGTCCTCCACATAACTGTATGATGAGCTCTGGGAAGGCTTCTTTCAGGGCCTCTGGGCCCCCCACAAGGCGGACCCTGTTGTCGTCCTCCCAAGTTCGGATCGTGGGCCTTGGGGTCTGGTAGTGGGCTCTCTCGAGGACGCCGTGCAGGAGGGCCCTTGTCCAGGAAACGCTTTGCCCGCACCCTTGGAGGATTGAGGCCATCGGGGTGAGGGGCTCGCTGACTCCAATCGGTGTCGTGAGGGCTCTGGTGCACGTGTGGGCCATCATGCCCAGTGCCAGTGGGGCCACTGGGTAGCCTAGGGCGATGGCCTTCTCAGCCAGCTTGTGCCCGCGGGTCGTGTCGAAAGGCTTTTCGGTGTCAAAAACGCCCTCGATGATGGAGCACTTGAGAGAGCTGCTGATCTCTGCAAAAAGCTCGCTGATGAGGGCTGCCCTCACACAGTCACTGCCTTTGATAGCTGCGTCCCAGAATCCTGGCCGCGCCTCTTCCCAGGAGGAGACCTGGCCCTTGAATAGGCGCATGGTGACACGGTACGGGGCGTTCGTCAAAGTAATAGGGCGGTCGCGGACCTCTGTCTTGGGTTCCAGGGCTACCAAATTGATTAGGCACTGGGCTGGAAACTGCTGCAGCCTACACGTATCATTGATAATGTCGGTGAGGATCTCTAATCCTTCAGGAGGGAGCCGACGGAAATCTGCTACTCGCCACTGGTCCGCTCCTGGTGCCGAATTGCTCGAGAAACTTCTGAGGGCCTTCTGAACTTGTTCTGGGCTCCAGCTGTGAGAGGGGTCCCAAGAGTCCTTTGCTTGCTGGCGTAGATCTTGGAGCCACGGGGCCTCTGGGGGCTTGTCGGGGGGGGGTCTTATCTGGGTCCCAGTACTGCAACCAAAACTCGCTTTTGTGGTTCAGGACCTTCAGGGGGTCTGTGATAATCTCCCCGTCGACCGAGCTGAAAACGTCATTGTCCTCTTCTGGAGTGGGCCCAGGGACCTTTGTAATGTGGCGTGCGCCGCCGCCCCCGTGGGCGAGAGAATCGTGGAGCCAGGTCTTGAATGCAGTCTCCTTCTGCATCAAGGCTTCCTTATCAAAGTGCAGAACGATCAGCTCGAGCTGAAAACGTGCATCTGGCCAAGCGCTTGTGCCTGCGAGATATGACTGCACCAGGGTCTGCGAGGCTGGCAGAAGATCTGGTGGCCACACTGGGTTCGCCTGGAGGGTGGAGGTGAGGTACCCCTGGATCCTCAGGAGCTCTCTGGAGGCCGGATGGTGTTGGAGTAGATGATCCCGTTCTTGGGCCCGCTGCTGGACCACCCCCCACTGATGGCTTTCATGATGAAGCCGATGCTGGAACGGAGTGGGGGGGGGGATGTCTCTCCAAATGACCTCGAAGCCGCCCCCTCGACTGTATCCTTCTTGGGTGCCTGCTGGGGTCCCGATGCACCAACCCTCGAGAGCCCGACTGAGGAGGCCGTACTGGTGGGTGAGGGTTTGGCTGGCGAACTCTTCTGCGATGGGGAACTGCACCTGCGGCGTCTCGTGCTGGTCTAGCTGCGCATGGTGCCAATACTGCGCCCACGGACTGGCTGGGGCTGCCGATGATTGGACGGAAGCAGCCTGCCTAGGGAACCATCCCTGGCGATAGAGTGCCTCCACTCGGAAAACTGCTCTGGGTCCGATGTGTGGCTTCCATGGGCTGGTTAAATCGGTCTCGATAGACAAGTAGTCAGAGATCGAGCTGTGGATGATGAAGTAGTCGATGAGACGACCATTGCGACACGAGGTCTCGATGTTCGCGGTTTTGATGACGCCTGATACTTTCTGGACCCAGGGGTGGCCTGCTAGGGGCTCATGGGGGGGCCATGTTGAAATCTCCCGAGATGATGCACGGGAGGTCCAGGGAGGTGAGGAAAACGGAAATCTCCTTCACTACCTTGATATTGAAACTGTTGTAGCCGACCCCCGACTGGAGGTAGACGGCGAGCAAAACTATGTTGCGGGCCTTCGTGCGGATCATACAAGCGGTCCAGTTGGTGCCCCCCACCAGCGGCCTCTTGTTACCCTTCCCCATCATGACCCGCGCGTGAGAGTGAAACTGTCGGGTGACGAAAATCCCGACTCCGCCTGTCTCTCCACTTGCTGGCGTGGCTGTGGCTCGACACTGATAACTCTTGTAGCCAAGCTTCCCCATGTATTCACGTGCTTCTCCCAGCTTCCTGAAGTCAGATGTGTCTCCCCTAACATGATGACCTGAGGAAGCCCAACATCAGAAGACTGTAACTATTTCTTGGCTTTATCATTCCACTTAGTGATATTGGCGTGGTAGATGTGAAACTCTGTCATGAGCTCGGGGGGAGCTCGCTAAGGTGGCCGCGTGGCCTGCTCAGCTTTCGCGAGCCCCCCCCTCTCCCTGGGGCAACTGCGGCTCCTACGCTCACCGCCAGGCCCTGGACGAGCTGCTCCTGGGCCTGCTGCTTGGCGGCCGCGATGGTCGACGCTGGTGCTCTGCTTGGCCCTCGCCTTCTTGATCTTGGTCTTGGCGGGGGGCAGCTTGGCTGAGGCGGCCGTGAGCTGCTCGATGAATGCCTTGGCCTGGTCTCCGTGGTCGCCTTTCATGTCCTGCATGTGCTTCTTGAGACCGTCGGGGATCACGGGCATGGTTGGGATCTCGATCTCCTCATCCTCATCCTCGTCCATGTCCTGGTGATCCTCGCCCTTGGCGGGGTCGTGCCCGCCGCTGGCCCACTTCGCGGTGGCCTCCACACTGGCCTTCTCGAAGGTGTCGCGGGCCCCTTTGAGCTCGGCGGTGGTGTCCTTCAGTTCGCCTTGCGCCGCCCTGAGCTCGGCGGCAAGGCGGTCGACCGTGGTGGAGAGGTGTAGCTGCTTCTTCTCGAGCTGGCGCACCTTCTGGAGCGCCTGTGTGGCTGAGATAGCTGGGTTCTTCTGCTCGGGCGCGGAGATTCCTTCGAGCTTCTGCACCTTATCTCCGAGGGCGTCCTTCTGCTCCGTGGTGAGCGTGCTGAGGAGGGCTGCGAGGATCTCCTTGATGTCCCCGTGGCCGCCCTCCGTGTCCTTGCCCTTGCCCTTGTCGTCACCCTGCCCTGTGTGGATGTGCCCACCTGGGATGTCGAACGGCTTCCCGCAGAGGCAGTAGACCTTCTTCTTAGCTTTGTTGAGGTATTGCCATTCCTTGCATGCGCTGCAGACGACGTACTGCGTCTTCTTGGGCTGTGCGATCTGCGTCTGGTATGCCCACCAGCCGCCCATGGCTGCGGACTCTGGTGGTTCCCGTGGGCGGCGGTCGCCCCAAGCCCCTGACCTCTGTGCCAGGCAGGCTACGGAAGCCCCAAAGCTAATCGCTGGTTCTCGGGCGTCTATAGCCCTTCACAGCGTTTAGCCTTGAGCCAAAATGGCTACGGACTCCTCCTCCTCCTCCTCCTCCTCCTCGTCCTCCTCCTCCTCCTCCTCCTCCCCTCCTGCGGAGGCGCCGGCGGCAGACGAAGCCGCCGACGGGGGAGCTGCGCCGCGGGCCCTGCCGAGGGAGGGCGGGCAGCACCCAGCGGTGTAGGATGCCGATCGGGGTAATGTTAAGTCGGGCCTGTCCCTCTACAGGAGGAAGATTCAGAAATAGTCATCGAATACTCTGGGGACGTCGGGCCTGTCCCTCTACAGGAGGAAGATTCAGAAATAGTCATCGAATACTCTGGGGACATATACATATATATATGTATATGGATATACACATATTATATATATATATATATATATTATATATATAATATATATGTACATTTATATATATATATATATATATATATATTATATATATATATATATATATATATATGTATGTGTACACACCATTTTGGGGCATTTTTTGAGTATTTTTATTGTCGTCGGAAATCCCCCTGCGGGGGGACACGCCCGACTTAAGGGTAATGTCGGCGGCCAGCAACCGGGGGGGCAGCGAGAAAAAAAACAGGCTTCGAAGGCGGCCCCCTCTCAGGGGTCCGCTCCTCAGAAGGGGGCCGCGAGGCCTTCTCCGACAGGGCCGCTTTTTACAGAGGGGGCCGCCCTTTCTCTTGGAATGGGCCGCCTTCTGGAAGAGGAGAAGGCCAGCAAGGCCTTCTCATAAGGCGGCGGCGCTCCAGCCTTCTGAGAGGTTGTTGGCATCGTCTGGGGGACTTCTCGCGGGCCCAGAGGTTGACACCAACACCAAGATCGGCGGTGCGCCTCCACCGAGGGATGAAGATCCCAATCTCAGTGATGGTGGTAATACTCTGGCTTCCAAGGTGACCGAAATATTACCACCAACGCCTAAATCCAGGATCATCTTCCCCCTGTGGAGGCAACCCCCTGTTTTGGTGTTGGTGCCCCTTTCCAGGCCTCCAAACTTCCGAGCCTTTGAGAGGGCCCGACCCTCTTTCACTTCTCCCCCGGGCTCGCCGCCGATCGCTGCCTTGCGAGCGCGCTGTGCTCTCGAGGTGCCGCCAGACACGTCGCCTCGGAAAAGGGGGAGAGGTGCCTGCCCCGCTGGCGTGCCCTCGCCTCCGCCTCTTTTCGGCCTCCTGGGAGGCCCTCGTCGGCCACGGCCGGGCTCCCCTCGGGAGTCTGGCAGAACGCACCCTGCCGGGGAGAGTTCCAGCGAGTAGCGGTATCGCCACTTGTTGCTCCCCAGATCTTCGCCGCCACCACTACCGTCATTTGCATCCGTTGTTCTTCACGGCTCTGTGGTGTGTGCAAGGTTATGTCCCCCATCGGCCGCAGTACAGCGCTTTCAATGGATGTTCCTCCAGGATGATGTATCTGTTGGTGCGCCAGTGCCAGACACGGACCAACGGACACCAGGACGGCGTGTGAGTGTTAATTTTGTGGGCCAAGCCCAAACATATGACTGCCAGCACGTTCTGTTGTTCAGGAGGCTGTATGTGTAGCCCTCTTTTTGTTCGGTATCTTGCTCGTCGGGTATTGTGTCACACTTGGTAGCGGAGCCTGTGGTACGTCCAGGGGCCTCCAGTTTCGACATGCCGGGCGAAACTGAAGACGAGAAGACGTCGGCAGTAAACCATGCATATTCGTGGGACGGGGTGGCAGATGTGGCCCCAGGGAAGGTTCAGAAGTCAGGATTCACAGAAGTCCAGAAGAAGGCATTGATGCAACTCGTGGCCGACGCGGTCAAGGGCGCGATGGCGACAGCGGAGACCTCGCGGGGAGCAGTTAAGGGTGCCGGCTGTCCTTGGGAGGTATCCGATCCGTGGTGGAAATTTCGTTCGGGTTCGAGTGCAGCATGGGATGGCACAGGCTCGTGGGGGAGCCCGGCCGGCTGAACTCTGACCGATTCGAAGCAGGACGCTGACCGGTCGATTTACCATCTCTCGACGGATAGCAATACGGAGTGGGGATCACAGGACTGGGCCAGCCATCGCTGGCAGCAGTCATCGTGGTCCGACAAAACGTGGCACAAACCCGACCTTCCTGTCACGCCGAAGTGGATGGGTCGGCCAAACTACAAGTTGTGGCGAATGCGAGTTCACCAGTGGCTGGAAGGCACCGGTATCCGCCCCTCCAAGCTGTTGGTTACGCTGGAGGTAGACATGCAACTGAGGTTCGAAGGACTCCCCGACCCGGGATTCACCAGCGCATTGTGGGCAAGAATTATTTTGTCTAGTCTCGACGCTTTGAGCGTGGAGCGACACGACCATGGTCGTCGCAACGCTGGTCGGGAACGCCTTTTCAATTACAAACGGAAGACGCACGAGCAACGAAACTTGTATGCGGTGTGAATTCAGCAGCAGTTCGACCAGCTAGGCGTCCAGGGCCTGCAGCTGGGTGGGGAATGGAAGAAACTCTTCCTTGAGGAAGGAGTGGTGCTCGATGATGCGGGCCACCTGGAGTTACCCGTCATGACTGGTAACGCTAGCAGTTTCACGGCGTGCCTGTTCGGCGATCAAGGAGACGGACATGGCAGGGGAAACAATTCTCTTGGGCTCGGCCAAAAAGTCGTACCTGGAGGCGCCGCCCGAGGGCAGCGCGTACCCGGCCTTCGGCGACGGCGAGGGCGACGGCGTCTGGAGCGAGGCGTCGACTCCCGACGCGGAGGGAGAGAAGGAGATTGTCATGATTCCCGAAAACGCCCAGGTGGACGAGAATGAGGTTGGCGGCCTTTTGGCCGTCCTTGAGAGCGGAGGACAATCCGAAAAGAAAACAGAAAGTTCAAGCGGACGTTCCGGACCGAGATGAAGTACTTCGTTCAAGCCTCCGGACCCTGTCGGTCGAAGAGATGGACAGAGGGATCGGCGAGCCGATCGAAGGGAACGTCGTGAGTTGAGAAATCGATCTTGTCCGAAACAATGTGTGAAAGTGGCGCATTCCCACAAGTGCAAGCAGAGAGGCCACTGGCAGAAGGAATGCTTTCATGATTCTCAGAGCTCCGCGTCAGGCGGCAATAGCGTGTAGTTCGTCGACGGTCAGTCTGGCTCTGAGCTGGCGCTCTCCACCATTCTGGTCGAACATGAGGTTTCCTGGCCAGTTCTCCTGCGCGTGGCAAACCTGGCATCGAAGACCCGTTCCGAGCCTCAGTGCCAGGGCAAGGCAGCACCGGCGTTCCTGGCCGTCGAGGACAGTTCGATGGTGGTGGACGCGCGCCACCGCTGGCCAGGCTGTCATCGGGGTGCCCGCGCTGGGAAAACACGCGGCAGACTTGGCTTCGACGGGCTTCCGCCACCTCGCGCCCCCAGCTCGAACAACTTTGCGAACGGCGCCAGGGTGCGCGCCGACGTGGTCACGGGGGGTGCCGGTGCAGTAGCAGTAGCAGTAGCAGTAGCAGTAGCAGTAGCAGTAGTAGTTGTAGTGGTAGTAGTAGTAGTAGTGGTAGTAGTAGTA